TTTTTGAAGCGTCCCGATTTTGTCCTGTAATAGTTTTAAATAGTGTTTTTAGTATATTTAAACTTAAGCCGGCCCGCCGCAGGCGCCGCCAAAGACAATTTGGTGCTCCTCCGGCAAAAATTCGTCGAAAAACCGGCTCCCCGATGGAAGTTGGGAGCCTTTTTTTAACCAAAATAGCCCGCCGCAGGCGCCGCCAGAGCGATTTTTGCTGTTATCATGCAAAATTAATCGGAAATTGGTGTAAATTGTGTTTACATACCTTAATTTTCTGAAATAGAAAAATTTGCCTTGGTCCCCCCTTACCCTCGCCGGGCCGAAGGCCCGGCGAGGGCGGGGCCGGGCCCCCTCGGCCCCCCCCTAGGTACGCCCTTGGCTCAGCTGGGAGAGCGTTAGACTGAAGATCTAAGGGTCGCCGGCTCGATCCCGGCTCGTGGCAATTCTTTTTATCTCTCACGAGGCCTCCTTCGATAGGCAAGTGTCCACCTACCTAAGTCCAGTGACTGGCCTGGTGACAATATGCTTGACAAAAAGGGAGCAATGGTCGTTTCATACTTTACGAATATTGCCGATACCATTTCACGGCACGCAATTTACGTATGACCAATGTGAAGGAGGAGGTGATGGATCATGTGTGTAGGCACTAGGTTCAAGCTCCGCCGGTAAGCGCCGACAGTGCACATTTTGCGTCTTATTATATATTTTTAGAAGATATGAACGAATTAGCGAGTTAGAAAACGATGGATAAGGATGCATTTTCTGATTCCAAAAAACGACCGTTTCCCGCACGACTTAAGTCTTCGTGTGGCTGTCCGCTACATCTTAGCGTGCACTTACCGACAACACGAAGACGGTGTCGAATACGCTCTGTAGAAGGTAAAATGTAAAGAAAGGAGATGAAAACTGATCCGTCTTCTTCAGTTTCTCCTTTGCTATGCATAGCATTGCGCTTACGTGAAATAGCAGAAAGCAGGCTTCAACAGTGAGTTTAGCCGCGTCCCACCAGGCCATGACGTAGACAGATTCTACTTGTTTTCAAATGTGAGCTGCTTCATTTCTGCGAAACGGAGACCTCATGCTGGCACAACACAAAAAACTACGACAAAACTGGAACAAATGCAGCGCGCCTGCCACTGGAGAAGCTGGAATTCTGAATTCGAAGTACACTACAAGTTTTAACCATCAACACGTGCGGTCTCCACTGGCACTTTGCTCGGTGTTTTGTATGATCTTTCGGTACGGTCTTTTAGAAGTTAAGGCCCCATAGAAGTTTTCCGGAAAGGTTTCCCTTTTCCTGAGACTTGAAGCCTGACGAAAGCATGAAACCTGTCGCGAGAAGTTCAGATTTGCGCTGACTTTCGCTTGCATTGGCGATACAGTGAGTGTACCGGTAGCTGGCTTTGCTTTATGGATCTGCGGCCGTTTACGGATGCCGAGACGGCGGCACTGCGACTACAGAGCTAGGCCGGGACATTATACAAAAGCGGCTTTCGATGTTTATCGTGGTTTGAGGCGTTCCCGAAAAAGGAAACTCAACTAAAGCTCAACTGTAAAAACTCAGCTCCACTTGGGTATGTACGTCAGACGTCCCCCTGAACTGACCCCCTAATACGTATATTGTAAGTTTGCCCCCCTTTCGATGTAGAACCGGCCTACACAGTCGATTTGTCGAGTTGTGCCGCAGCGTCGTAGCCGGAAGCCGTCGGATCTAGCCGGAATTCTTGAAGCCAGTCTTTCACTTGATTTTGGTTGTTGATAAACTTGTTGTGCACTGGGCTCACTTGTTATCGACCGGTTTCTCGACGCCACCATGTGGGTTGTTACCTGACGGCATAACGTGACTTGACGAAGTGAGCGAGATCGCCGGCTCTACGGAGGAGGCATTCTTAGTATACATAGTTGCCAATCAACGTGCAAAGACCGCTCAGGCTTAGGCGGCTTCCGCTTTGCACCTGCTTATTATGCCGACTTGCTATCGAAGCTCGCCTGCATCTCATACATTACATAATTCTTTCCGCATGATTTATGTTAGGTACCTCGTCGCCTTCATCGTTGGATTCCCTTTGTTCCTGTTCCATATTTCGGTCACGCTGTGTATCCTGAGCCGGCGACTTAACAGGAATCCTTCCTTCCAATCCGCCTTCTTTCTCGTGTACATTCACAACAGTGTCGTCGACCTCCTATGCTTCGTATCGGTGAGACATCAGCACCCACACTGCACGTATGAGTACGAACTTTGTGCAACAGGGCCCTAGGCCCGCCGGGCCTGGGACTCGGTTTTCCAGGATTTCCCGGACCCCGTGCCTGGGCAAGCACGGCCTGTATAAGCCCGGCTAGGGGCGCAAAACATTGTCCGTTTTTGTTAGTTTTCAAATAATTTTGGCAAGTATGCCAAAAAGACGCTATGGCGGCGCTTACGGTCGGGTATTTTTATGAAGCCGATAAAGCCCTTCAAAAGAGCAAAAATCCTACCCGTAGAAAAGTTAAAAATAATCTGGAGTAATGAAGCCGCTTCATGTAAACTGAAAGTCATTGTCAACTTCACTTTGCTATACAGTTGAGGTGTTAAAACAGCGATGAACGAGACCCGGTTCAGTCATGCTCAGTTCAAACACTTATATGTCATGGTTCAGTTTAAATTACCGATAAAATGCGACGTCGGGTACTTTGATTTCGCATTTTAATAGGACTTGTTTGGTAAATTAATTAGGAAAAGCATTTTACGGGATATGGCCGTCAAATGCGAAAATCCATTTTTCACCTGCCCAGACCGGCGTAACACATTGTTTATGCGGAGTAGAAACCTTCGGGTACAGAGCAGCACCAGGTGCTTGGCATAGCCCAGGACATCGTGGCACTGAAAGCCACCGCCTGGCATTAGAAGGCACCGCGTAAGCATGCTACGGTAAAATGCGTTAGTAAACTACATTTCGCATTCCCCTAGGTCGGTAATTCGCATTCTAACTGACCTTCCAAGGAAGAATGCGTTCTACTTAATTTTGCATTTTACCATTCATACAAACACTGCTTACGGTGTAGTGGAGCCCGAGAGAGTGGCCCTGGGTCTTCTGGGCCGGCGGGACGTACTGTTTATGCTGGTGCGACACTCCTTTAGACAGGTCCCACTCGTAGAAGAAAGTTGAATTCTTATGATCGACTGCAGTGCAGAAAGAAATACAAAGCGATTTGAGCTGTTGATTGCACTAGACCGATACGTTCCTTTAGACGCTGTTGATATACGCTTTACACATCGAGCGTAACACGTCGCTGGATATAACATGGCAAAACGGGAAGATTCTACATTGCATCCTGCCGTTTGCACTGTGCTTCCAGTTCTCCGGCCACGTTATCATCGCGCTTAATCGCTACACGATATTCACCCATCCGGACAAACACATACAGGTGGATATCGCTGGCCGCGTAAGTGGCGTAAACACGAATCGGTCTAGATTTGGTCTGGCCGGCGGTTAAAGGTGGTTTTCTGCCTCCTCTACGTCTTGCCATCTGCGTGCGCGATCTTCCGGTTCTTCGGCGACGTGCGCGTCGCCGTTCAAGACAGTGGTCCTGTCCTCGTGTGGTCACCCGTGTGGATATACATGGTAGGCACGATAACCATTCTTGCATTACATTTTAATTCGTAGTTTGCAAAAAAGGCTTAGGTAGCAGAATTTCTAACGTGGTAATGGGTAGAGTTTGCAAATGACCCCCCCCCCCGTACCGTACTCCGTACCGTACTGGACCCCACCCCCCCGTACCGTACTCCGTACCGTACTG